GACTTTCAGTACCTGGGTGTTTCTGTTGACAATAACTTAAGTTGGTCTACTCATATATCTCGTTTAAAGTCCTACATGCGATGTACCGTTCGTTACTTTTATAGCTTGAGAAAGATTTGCGCAAACGCAACTCTTAAAACTATTTACTACGCGTTGGTCCACTCAAAGCTAGACTATGGTATAAGCTGTTGGGGAGGTACATCTTATAGTAGAATCCAGCAGCTTCTAACTATTCAAAAATGTGTCATAAGGAAAATATCGAATGCAAATCGTCTTCATCACACCATCGACCTGTTTAGAAACCTGAAAATTCTTCCCGTAAAGCATATGTACTACTGCAAGGCTTTAAAGATATTTTTCGTTCGCTGTGGTTATTTGCATAGCCTGATCTCGGATAGCTACAATTTAAGGCAAAATTCACACGGACTTGTTTATGTTCCCACATCTCGCACAACTCACTTTAGTAACTTCTTCAGTATTGTTTCTTGCAAGGCTTTCAATGCGCTACCTGGTTCTATACGAGTCATTAGAAATTTGCGTACATTTTTATTAAAGGTTAAATCATTTTTATTAGAACAATCACACGACGACATCAAAATTTTGCTGAACCCTACAACTCAGTAAACTTGAACTAAATATGTAATCTCATGAGCATGTACACCGCTTTTTCATAAACCAACTTAATTAAATTTAAATTTATCTTACAATGTATAGTTTATTCTGAATTTCACCCCACACACTTTTGTTAATGTGCATTAAATTCCTCTTGAGACGGCATTCGATACTAAAATATTAATACTTTTTACAGAATGCCTTACTTTTTCTTTCTTTTAATATTTTATTATAATTTATGTTAAGTTAATATTGTAATTTACATACATATGTTTATTTTGAAAGAAAAATGAATAAATCAATCAATCAATCCTTCTGTGCGGATGGTTTTTCGATTAAAAAAAATTCAAAACTTTTTGCTGTTGTTGCCAAAAAATTAAGACAGTTGAGATGTCACAATTTCACAATTCCATAGAGTTTTCTGTATATTGTATGTCACTAAACTACTAAACAGCTGGACCGATTTGGTTCATACTTGGAACATATATCAGTACCTTGGAAAGAAATATTTTGGCAGGATCGCCGTGTAATAATGTTGGTTGATCGAAATAATTGAAAGATCTTTTCCGGGTAACGCATATATCAACCCCGATTTATTCAACTCATTTAATAAAGGCATAAGGGTTAGTGTAGTGTAAGTAAAATAGTGAGAAGGTGCTAGTATAGAATATATAGAGAGGAGGAGGAATCCACCACATTGAGGTACACTACACATCCTCGGGCGGACAATGCCAAACGTCGAGTGACCAGAAGACATCGCAAACTGCCAACACCAAGTGCGCCTCTTTTTTTTCACCAGCGGCGAGGTAAGGGTAGCCATCGGGAAGGTGAAAGCCTCCAACGCCATAGGACCCGGCGGAATTTACAAGCTGATGCTGAAAAATTTGAGTCCTGCGGAAGTGTACTATCTAACCAAGGCCTATGGCCACTCTCATCATTCCAGACAACTGGAAAATGAGGAGAGTGGTCCCACTGCTTAAACTGGGGAAACCGTCCAACAAAGGAGAGTCTTATCGACCGATAACCCTCCTTTCCCCGGTAGCGAAGACACTAGAGACCCTTCGACTCTTCCGCTACACAAACCACCAGACCTCAGCGAAGCATCAGCATGGTTTCCGCAGAGTGCATAGCACAACAACAGCGGTTAGCGCCATAAATACCCAGATAACTCTTGGCCTTAACCGAAACCGCCCAGTGAGAGAACATTCCTAGTAGGGTTGGATCTGTCAAAGGCGTTTGACACCGTCAGTCACTCCACGCTACTAGAAGATATTGAGGCCTCCTCTCTCCCACAGGGACTAAAACGGTCGTCGGCGAATTATCAGAGTAGTCGACATTCGTCAGTAACCTTCAGAGACAAAAACAGAAAACCAATAAAAATTAAACAGAGGGTTTCAAAGGATGGTATCCTATCCCCACTACTGTTTAATTAGCATATTTCTAAGCTCCCTCAAGGGAGTCTCGATTGTCTCTTGTGCTGACGATTGCTCAATAATGGCTTCTGGGAATGGAATTCATGACTTGTGCTCGAAAGTAAACTGTTACCTCGCCGAGCTTTCTCGCTTCTCCACAGCAAGAAGCCTAACCCTCTCCCCTACAAAATCTTCGGCAGCCTTATTCACCACCTGCACGAAAGAAGTCAGGCTGCAACTAGGTATTAAACTCGATGGGGAACCAATACCGACACCGAATAACCCAAAAATCCTTGGAGTCACCTTCGACAGTATGCTCTCCTTCTCGGCGCACACAACCGCAATTGTCAACAGAGTACAGAGCCGCAAAAAAATGCTCAAGTCGCTGGCCGGCAGCACTAGCAATTCCATTCCCAGATGCCATTATCGGGCAGACAAGACAAAGAAACGTTGCTGGCAACATACAAGGTAATTTGCCGGCCGGTTCTAAAATACGCAGCGCCCATGTGTCCACTGTCTAGCAGAACGCAGTGGACGAGGTTACAGATTTGCCAGAACACGACACTCCGGACCGCGACTGGATGCCTTCTGATGTCGCCCCAACACCACCTACACGACGAGGCTCAGATGCTCCCCATCAGGAAGCATAACACAATGCTCTGCAAGCAGTTTCTAGTAGGGTTCCGCACACGTGGTCACCCGAACACACAACTGTTTGCAGAAGATCACTCGCCAAGGCACGTCAGGAGGCACCTCTACGAACTAACGAGGATCATCAAACAACCTCTGGACTCAACTGCATACAGACAGGCCCTGAACGGAATTCACAGGGAGTCGGCTTCGATTTATATAGACTCTCGGCCTGTGAATGACGTTCTGGGCACACAACTACCTGACGTGGACGGGACAGAACTTTGTCTGCCTCGGGAGACCCGCGCCACTATAGGCTAAACTCATACCTGTAGAACTTCGTCTGCCTCGGGAGACTCGTACTACATTAGCACAACTCCGCTCTAGGTAATGTAGCAGGTTAAATTCCTACTTCAACAGGATAGACTGAAATATGCCCAGCATATGTCCGGCATGCGGAGTCACCCCATGGCAGCGATGAACAAAGTTTCGACTATATGGGCGCAGGTGGATATCGCGATATCGCCTAATCAGTTTAGGCGCGTGCATGCTAAAAATTGTTAGCAAAAAATGTGAGTACCCGTTCGTTAGGTCTTGAAATAGACTCATGTTTTAGAGAATTGCATGTAGCTTTTGAGCATATAATTGGATCTTTTCGCGGGACTTTACAAATATATGTAATTTTCGATTTTCTTAATGTTTTCATTTTCTCCTTATTTTTGCGTTATTTCGCGTAAACAGGTAATAGCAGTAGAGCAAACACAACCCTGGCATGTATTTTGTTGCTGCTAGAGAAACCTATAATGCCAAATCAAAAGCAAGCAAAAAGGATGCTAATGTATGTGTATGTGAATGTGTATATGAATGTAGCAAAGTTTGACAGTTCAGGTTTTTCACGAAATAGAAAAAAATCCAAACTGCAGCCCTGCTACTACTACCTGTTTAATGTGCTTTGGTGTAACCTTTGTATTTCTGGAGTGGAAAGCAGAAAACAAAAATTAACCAAAATTCCATCACACTTAATGGTTGGACCCACATATTTTGCGAGTTGTAGACGTTGTAGTGATACAATCTTGCCCATATTTTATATTTAGGTTTTCCAAATCCAAGAGAACTAAATTACATCGAAATCGGATGAAATTTAATGTTTCCGCTCACAGGAGTGGAGGGCGTGGCAATTATCAAATATTTACCATATTTCATAATTAGCTATTCCTAAGAATGAGTAGAGCAAATGTTAAGTTTCAGTGCAGTCAGTGCACGTTAATTATTATTTCCACTGGTTCCACATAGTCGATACACTGTGCGATGTGTTGAAATATCTGAGCTATTTAACACCTACTTATCTGTCCCGATATATTTGTAGCTGCCATACCTAAATAAAAGCGTAAGCATTGACTGGTGTCAAATAATTCCCGTGCCCATAAAATTTGTATGAAGCATATCGAAATAACGCGGCGGCAACGCGTTAGGTAGTGAAGTTGACTGCATAAAACTTCGAAACTGTCATTTTCGTATTTCACACAAACAAACCTATGCTTACTGTTTGTGTTATTTCTGCATTTGACGTAGCGTTGTCGCTACCCGTCGGCTGTAAGGTCTTGTCAAATGTGTAGTTTAAAAGGATAAAGGCCACCGTCAACGAACTAATAAATCCACTAGAAATCAGATATTCATAATCCGCCGAATCTTGGAAAAGACCTGCAGAGAAGTATCGAGGGTCTGCAGGTGGGCAAAACTCATGTTGCCTTCAATTTCAGAAGATCTATCTAGTTTTTTGCTCTCACTGAGCAGACGGGGCTCGTGGCACAAACACCTGACTGCCATAGGCGTACATGAAAACTCCATTTGCCCATCCTGCCTGGGAGGAGGATGAGACGGTGGAACACTTTTTGTGCTTCTGCCCCGCCTTTGCAAGAATAAGGTATGAGACATTTCGCCGCGCTGTGTTGAGAGACGTAAATCGTCCAGATTTAGAACAGATTAAAAGGGACATGAAAACAGTACAATGGACGTCACGTAGTCCCAGTGTTGTTTTTTGCACAAGTTGTTTTGTGCCTGGGTCCGACAAAGAAAAAAGAAAAGTACGCCAGAGGACGATAAAGGCTTTTGTTGAATCCATCGTAATCTGATATTCATCAAGTCTACGAAAAAGTAATCACTGAATCAGAGTCGCTGCGAACCTATTCAAAACATGCTACGTTCGTTACTATTCGGATTCACTTGTAACATTTTAGTAGACTTCGCGGAAAATCAGACTACCATGAATTCCGAATTAGACCCTGGATGTGTACACCTACGTTACGTGTTATTATAAATATATTTAAACTTCAAAAAAGTACTTACCAAAATTTTCTACCCTACTTCCTGTATCGAGGGAATGTACTAAAAAATCAGTCAATGCTTCGACCTCACTCTCCTTTTGTTGGCATGAGCTTTTTGAATTATCATCAGCACTACTAGCTTCTATACTAGAGAATGATGGTGTGTTGCAACCGCTGGTACTGATGGATCCGATTGTTGATATATTTCCTCCACTTTCACTCGTATTTAACTGTGGACCGTTGACGTATGGTACATAATTTAAGTAGTTTGCATGCGATGAAAGTTGACTAGCTGGGCGTGGAATTATTGGTTCATATATAGATTCATATGTCGACGAACTCTAAAATAGTAATAGTTTTATGTGGTAAATTTGTATGCAACAGACTATATTTCAAATAGATGAGGACTGTAGCGAAGCTTGCAAATATAATATGATGATTTGCCTTTAATTTATACATAATAACCAAATAATATTGCTGTCTTCGTTATAATGCCGAAGTTAGGTAATCAAAAATGTTGTGACTTTATCCCAGTAATAATGCCTGCAATGCAAAGCTATATTAAAAATTACTGAAATTCTTACGTGTATTCGAAGGAAAGATTCTAAAAACGTATGGGTCATTACGGACAGGGCCGTAGCCAGAATTTTAAATTTGGAAGTTCGTGCCCGTATGTTGTTGGTTAGTCAAATATTAGTGGCATTGTTGTACTATGATAGCACGACCGAGTAATCATAGTGAACTTACATATGTACAGCAGTCGAAAAAATTATAGCGGCACCAAATTTTGACCAGTTTTCAAATATGTTTTTTTTTTGTTATTTAATTTTGGTTAGTTTTTTATAGTTCATTCTCTAACATCTTCCGTATAAATACAAGTTCAAAGGCAGTGTCACACCGATCACGCCCATTCCGAAATTCGATTTTTAAGTCCCGAACCTGCCCATCCCGACGTTTTTCAGAATTGTACCGCATATCCCGTGGGTCCCGAAATCTATCTCTAAATCAGGCTACAAACGGACAACAAATTGAAACGATCGGTTGAGATTTAAACGTGTGTGGCGTGGTTTGCAAACCGATCAAAGGTTGACAAAAATGTTCATGTCTTTCAAATTAATTTTAAATTATAATGAAATATCTGGCATCCTCCGATTATTTTGTTTTACTTTGGTGTTCGTTTTTGTCTCAATAAATAGTTAATAGAGCATATTTCGTGCCGAAATTTGGTGAAAATCGTATCCCAATTGTGTGAATACAGAAAACTTTATCCCAATCACGCGAAATAACAAAGGTTTACAAAAAAAAAGTGTATGCATATTAAACCAAACCTATATATCCCTATGTTATTTGACACGCTGAATGCGAATCCGAAGCTCGTTAGTCTCCATCACGTCAGGTTCGTGGTCAGTTGAAGGTCAAGTAAGGAAAAATTCATTGAATAAACCTGAAAATTCATATATATAAGGTTATAAATTCGGTGAACCCGAACCCGAGGTCCGTTACACTCCATAATGTCAGCTTCGAGGTCATTTGAAGGTCAAATACGACAAACAATTTATTAAATAAAAATAAAAAAATTTGTTTTTGTTGTCGCTGAAACCGAGTATGGGGGGTCCCTTGATTTCTCAAGGTCATCTAGAGGTCATGACAAGGTCATCCCAAGGTCAAATTAGGGTGAATTTTATTGAATTTTCAGGTTTATTCAATGAATTTTTCGCTAGTTGACCTTCAAATGACCATGAACCTGACGAGATGGAGGCTAACGGACCTCTGATTCGCATGCAGCATGTCGAATAACATAGGGATAAATAGCTTTGGTTAAATATGCATACACTTTTTTTTGTAAACCTGTGTAATTTGTTGAAATTTTTCAATAGAAGATTGCTGTATCGTCCCAATTTTTTTTATTTTGTACCAATAGCCCAATATAAAATTGTACAAATGTACCAATCGAGTGGCACTGCCTTAAAAATTTATGCAATTAAAAAAATAAATAAATTGTACAAATTTTCGTAAAAATTTTTGAATATGCAGTTTTGTAGCCCATTGAATTCTAGTGGAACAAAGTACAAGTTTCAAATGGCTAAAAATTACGGTTGTTTTTTTAGATTTTTTAAAAAAGCTCGAAATTTGTACGAAAGTTTGTTGAATTTTTTAATATTGCACAAAGCTGAAAACTTGGGTTTACACGGGTTTTGCTAAACAATGAACTATATTTAAAAAAAAAAATGTACCAAAATTAAATAAAAACAAAAATAATACGTTAAAGCTTGGAAAAAACACCTACAACAACAAAATAATCCTTAAAAACATTTAATGTAATTCCGGCGATAATTTTGAAAACTCCACCTTTTATCTTTTTACTAGTTTCCACCATCTGGCACTATCGTTAATCGCATTGATTTTTTCAAGAAGACCATTATACCAGGTTTCCTTGCTCCTCTCACACTTCTTTATAAAATTTATTCGCTTCCAGGTACTTTAAGTTATTACTTTCATTGAAACATTTGAAACATTTTTTGAGAGCACGTAAGCTTTGAAGATACCACTCATTTATTGTCGCAGTTTTTGACTTTGGTTGCTTCCTTACCGAAGAAACCTCTATAGCTTTCTGTAAATCTCGTATTTCTAGTGTCCTTTCTATTTTCCCAAGGTCCTTTACCTCTTTAGAGATTCTCGTGATATTTTTTGAGAGCACGTAAGCTTTGAAGAGATTTGGTTCTCGCCTCCTTGCATTTCTCATCGAACCCTCATTTATTGTCGCAGTTTTAAACTTTGGTTGCTTCCTTACCGAAGAAACGTCAAAAGCTTCCTCTAAATCTCGTATTTCTAGTGTCCTTTCTACTTTCTCAAGGTCCTTTACCTTTTTATGTAGATTCTCGTGATACTTTTCTATTGTTTGGCCACTCCAGTTTAATTAAGGCAGCAGTTCACATGTTTCCAACCTTTTTTTTTTTTTATTTACCAAGCGTAAGTTTGATTGGTATATGATCCGACCAATTTTTAAATTCCACTTCAAAGCTCTATATCACACTCATAAACGTATCTTTATTAACCAAACAGTAATCTATTACTGACTCACCCACTTGACTGACAAACGTAAAATTACCTTCTAAGGGCGGTATTGTCACTTGCGAAGCGAATGAATTTGGCGAAGCGAACGGTTTGGCGAAGCGAATGGATAGGCGGGCGCAACTTAAATATGCATTAAGAGTGTTCGCTTTTACCAGCTTGTGCAAGTTCTTCGCATCGCGCATACTTTTAATACCTTCTCTGCCTTTTAATTCCCTTCGCCAAACCGTTCGCTTCGCCAAATTCATTCGCTTCGCAAGTGACAATACCGCCCTAAATCTCCTTTCGTGCTTTCGTTTAAAACAATCAACCCGAAATCCTCACACAGAGTTAGTAAAACCTTCCCTCTTGCATTTTCGATCTGGTCTTTTGAGTTTATTTTTTCAACACATGTTTTGCTGATTACTACCATCAACTTTTTGTTGACACTCACCAATTCTGGCATTCAAATCCCCTATTGAAATAGGATTAATGACATTGGTTTCTAGGAGAAATGATGTAATAATATTTACTTCTTTTTGCCATTCTGCCTGCCGAATATACACAGGAATTAATGTTAATTGTTCAATTCCTTTTTTTATCAATATGGTATCTACTACACATAGGTTTCTAAAGTTCCACTGATAGTTCAGTTTTTTTAAGTTTGTGTTATTTCCGAATACCACTCCCATAGTGACTAACACGAACAGAAGCTTTCCAAAAAGTTTCAGAACCACCAAAATACCTTTTAAACATCTCAACCTTATCCTCACATATATGTGTTTCTATCAAGACAAAAATATCAAAAGATCTGATGTATTGAAAAAATTCTGGGTGCAAAGATTTATTCCTCAGTTCGTGTATATTATAAGAGAGTATAGTTAAATTTTTAAATTCTTTAGTGTCAATAACCTCCTTTTCATTAACTATGCCTTCACATTTGTTTACCTTTCCCCTTGCAGTGCTGTTTTGTTTGTTCAAATTATATGTTTTATCTTTTGTTAGTTTTTTCCGTTGGCTTTCATAACATTTGTTTTTGTTCATAAATGGTTAAAATCAAAATTTACATCATTTAAACTGTTTCCATACATGTTTGACAATGTGTGAGGTAGTTGTGCCCGCCAGTTTTTTTAATGTTCTTGAAAACGCCACGAACCGCATCCTCTGTAGAAAATTCAGCCCTGACTGCCATTATAGTTCCTCGCACGTACAGCAATCTCACGCCTCGAATATTACTAGCTTGCACTCCCAATTTCTCCTCGCAGATCTGCTTCACAACTTTCTCCGAAATTTTTCTTTATCAATTCCTTTGAATATAAGATTTTTCCATTTAGAATCCTCAATGAAACTTGTCATTTCTATCCTCTCGCTGCTTTTTTCAGCATGCTTAGCTCTATCTCCAGCGATCTGTTATTTTTTTCAGTTAACTGCTTTACATGTTCTGCCAGACTATCAACTTTAGACGACACCATCAACGGATCTTTCTTTGTAGCCAACTTTTGCAACTTCTCATCCAGCAAGCCTTGCATGAGCCGTATTAGCTCACTTACGTCTAAACTTCGAACTGATTTATTTTTTACGCCTACAGTTGTTTATGGAGAGATTTCAACAAGCATTTTTTTGGAGTTGCGGATGACATCCCTGTCGCTGTTGCTGTCATTTCGCGTTGGGGTTCCTTCTGGTTGAAAATCAGCTTCGTGGATACAGTTCAACAGGTACAAGACCAATGGTGGCAAATGCTGGTGCTCTTTTAATCGTAGTTGATTCCCAAAGCATTATTTATGCTCGTAATGATAATGACGTTATATCTCAGGTTTAAGAGTTTGCATTGCACCTTATTTAGATGTTTTTGCCAGTTAATTTCTTTGAATTTCTTATTATTTAATTCAGAGTATCAAAAGTTGCACGTCTATTTGTTAACAGAGTTACCAGACTTCATCCTTATTATTAATATAATATAAATTATAAATGGAAATCAGTGCGAAAATTATTTTCTTTATAAAACTAACAAAGCGTGTGAAAATCTTGAATCAACCAAAAAATAACAAATTAAAGCTTAAAATGCATTTTTATTACCTTTTTTTACGTTTTGATATCAAGTTCTAAGTAAATTTTTTTTGTGTTTAAAGTAGGCTGTGTTGAATGCACTTTCAAATAATTTGCGATTCATAATTCAAGTGTTTGGTAAGAAAAATATATAGTAGAACTCATCTGCTTTTAATAAAATTGTTTTATATGTTAAATTTTGTGAGTGCTTAATCTATATTATGAGTTATTATTGAGCAGTCTT